CATTATTTAGTAACCAGCACGAAAACAATCACTATTATTTTTAGCCCACGTGGTGGGCGCCAAACTGTTTACCTTGAAAATGGTAATTACAAAATACATTTGATTTTTTGGTTCAAAAAATAGGTGATTCATTTTTATGTTAGTTGTTAGGCAGTAGATGCTAAGTGTGAGACTAGAAAATAAGATAAAGGCATAATGATAGTGTGTCAAGCAAACTGAGTGACTGAGATTTGGGGCCTCGAGCTAGACTATAGGAGACCTCGAGGTCGAGCTGAATGTTAGGCTGAGGACAGCCGATGAAGGATTAACTGTTCTAAGAGCTTTGATGGGGACACTTTATGATCAATGACGAGTAATAAATGAAGAACAATCAATGAAACACAATATATGTTTGTAATGTAATAATTACAAGCAATAAACTCAAAGGAGAATATGTTTAAGTTAGAGAGCAGAGAATGTTCTTGTTCTTGTATTCAATATATTGTGTGTGCAAAAAATTACAAGGATCTCCTTTATATAGGAGGGGGAATCCCAACACAGTACATCTGTATTTATTACAAAGATACGCGGCTGGTACAGCCATTCAATACCACGGTACGCGCTTGTACTAGCGTAATAGACTTGGTCAGCTTCAACCACGTGCTTTGGGAACTTCCCGTTTTACCATCATAACCACCGATTTGTACTGCCTCGAGGTCGAACATTGAGAACCCTCAGGGTTGAACCTCGAGCTGAGCCTCGAGCCTTCTGGGGGCGGTCTTAAGAAGTGCCATAACGATAAAATCGGACTCCTCGATTTTAGCCGTGTACACTCTTTCAACTTTAAGCTTCCTACTTGAGAATTATTATTCCAAATCAATCCCAAACCACTCAAAAACCAAAAGCGATGATATACGCAAGTTAAAATGCAACAAGTGAAGCTACACATGACCTCAAACCACCAAAATGAATGCAAATTCCCAAAACAACGGGTCGGGTTATTACATTAAAATAAGTTTCAAGAGTACAACACCGTTTGGGATACATAAACAGTAAAAAACAAAAGGGTGACTCAGAGGGCTACGAACGAAGCAACAAGGATACCTTGAAGTCTCCAACCAGCTCTAGTACGTCTCCTAATGATCACCTCAATCCAAAGTACCTGTATCTGCACAAAGAATGTGCAGAAGCGTAATATGAGTACACAACAATCACTATTCAAGAAGTATCAAGACTAACCTCGATTGAGTAGTGACGAGTTTCCACTCATGACACTTACTAGTCAAATAACCTGTGCAGAATATCAAACGAATAATGACAACAAAATGCATAATGGAAACAAATATCAAGAACATCGAAGAGCATGTAACAACAAATCAATGTAGAATAATTTGTTTTTGCCAATAAAATAGCAATGGGAGTGGGGCATGTAATAGCATGTCAAAAATAAACCAACAACTCATAAAAAACAAGATGAAAACAATTTAGAAGCAAGTTTGTGATTAAAATATCAACCCCAGTTACAACACATGAGCAACATTAATGGAACACCCCGATATATCTCATAACATCACCAACAAGCTACCCTTATGTCGCTACATGCATTTATTCAATGGAATGCCTCTTTTATGTTGCCACATGCACATAACAAAGCCACCCTTATGTCGCCAATGCATATAATCAATGGAATGCCTCTTTTATGTCGCCGCATGCACATAACAAAGCCACCCTTATCTTTCTGTATTACAATCACAATGAAATGCCGTCCTTTTGTCACCGCATGCAAATCTTGCCACCCTTATACTCCACACAACAATAATCAACCTATATAACATGCCCACATGTTCCGCAATACCACTAAATAACAAACACCCAAAGTCACATCAAGATATAGCATATGGATCAAAAACAAGGTGGTTAATAACATGATAATAACATAAGAGTATGGGGATATTCAATAGTAAAGCATGTTTCATATAGCAAACAACCCTAATTCAAGGCATATTAAAATCCTAAGGCTAATCCTGTCATAAACCACACATACGCCATGTACACACTCGTCACCTCATGTACACGTTGTTTCTTGTAACACAAATGCGTAAATTAGACCAAATCCTAAGGGGTAATTCCCCCATGTAAGGTTAAGAAAGATACTTATCTCTATTAGGCCAAACCAATACTCTAAAAATGCTTTTCCTTTACAATCCACCTCTATTCGACTCAAATCTAGCAAAAAAAGACTAAATAATATCAAACAATGCAAAAGAAATTACTTTCAATTAATAAAGTTGCAATCTTAACCAATTCCCAAAAAGTCAAAAAAGTCAACCCCGGATGCACCTGGTCAATCCCGAGTCGAGGGGTAGATCCCGACTACTGATGTTGGGCATATTTCTATATGTTGTAATGTTACTTTACCTACGTTTTAACCGCATTTTGGTGCTACTAGTGTTAAAAATTCCCAACATGTGTTAATTATTGATTTTATGACTAGTTAAGTTGATGATTTAGGATGTTTGGACTCCAATAATATAAAGAAAAGATGCTCCAGTTATTGGGAGGAGAGGGTGGATGTGTCGCATCCAACATTAGAGAAAAGACTGATCAGAGCACCCTTAGCGGTAAAGTCTTATGAAGGCGTCCACCTTAGCATCTACACCTGGGCGCAACAAAGGTGAAGAAATAAAGGGTGGACGCGAAGCATCCACCCCAGCATCCGATGCTGAGAAGTTCAAGTTGAGGCGGACGTGAAGCATCCAACTCAGTATCAATACCTAAAGCTTATTCGGAAAAGGAAAACTTTGGTCCATGATTTTTTTACAAAATATATAAGCCAAAAATGCCTCTTTTAGGTCATCTAACACACGTGGAAGTAGAGAAAAGCCATCACAAAGTTTCGAAACCATAGAATTCGTCTTGATTTCTTACTTGGGAATTCATTGAGCTTGCTACCATGACAATGCATGGCTAAACTTGTTTATTCCGGTATTATGATTTTACATTAATTTTAATATTTGAATATTGATTTGACAAGTTAATTTATCATATTGGGTTGTTTATTCATATATTAAGTTTAATTATTTTACTGCCTAGCTAACAATACAATACTATATATTAATCTTGAGTTGAACTTGAAAAGGGTAATTCTTTATTGCAATTGGATTGAATAGAGCACGATCTTGAACGTAGTCCCTGGAGAATTGATTTGCGAGTACAGATAGAAATATACGTATTTGTCATACTTATCCAATTGTGCATGAAATTGTTAATGTGTTCTTTTTATCTCTAATCTCATAGGAATATAGGATTTAGAATAAAATGAATAGGCAAGTAGAAGTTATCGAATTTGTAGGAGTATTGTTGTCCTTGCAAGTTAATAACCCAGATAAAATAATAAATCAAGTTGATTGAAGAATTCAAGAGGATTTTTATTAACCATGACACTGGAATATTATTTCTCATTGACGTAAGATCTTCGTGTTAAGTATGCTAGTTAGTTAGTTCTTCTTTTAACGACAATTCTAATTAGTAGAATTAATTAAACAAAAGCCACGTTGAAATTGATATTGACTCGATATATTTGAATTCGCTTGATTTAGATAATAAATAATCAGAGGTCCTCGTGAGAATGATACTGTACTCACTCTTTATTACTTAGTTGACCGCGTATGCTTGCGTGTGCGATTTAGGGCAGCAAGTTTTTGGTGCCATTGCCGGGAACTTAGAAATTAATTGTTTTACTAGATTAAGCTTTTACTACTCATTGAGTTAAGTTTTAATCGTCTTTTGGGTTGGGTGTTTGATCTCAGGTACTTTTCTTGAATGTGACGGGTTAGAAGCCATGATAGACTACAAGATTTTGACTCTGAACCTGAGAGAGCATTTCAGAGAATGTTGAGAGAAGCTCAGGAAGCGAATAATCGACAATCATTCATTTAACCTCCTATTGAAATGGCGTATGAATACACATTGCCGATACAAGAGGAGGTTGTTCCCAACATTGCTAATCTCACCTCCAGTATCTCTAACTCTAGATCACTGGGCATTTTGAGCTTAATCAGAGCATGATCCAGCTACTTCATGCTATTGGACAGTTCATAGGACTACCACATGAGGACCCCTAAGAACATATTCTGAATTTTCTAGAGATTAGTGATACCTATATCACTAACGGGGTAACATCTGATTATGTCAGGCTCACATAGTTCCCCTTTTCTCTGTTGGGAGAGGCCAAAAGATGGTTGAAATCGGAGCCAGCTAACACTAAATTCTTGGCTAGGTTCATTCCTTCTGGTAAAACTGCAAAGATAAGAAGTGAGATAGTTGCATTCAAACAGAGAGAAATTGAATCACTTTACGAAGCCTGGGAGGGATTCAAGGGGCTACTAAGAGAGTGCCCACACCATAACAAACTAATGAGGTACTGGCTCACACTTTTATTAAAGGTCTTTCCCCTGAAACAAAAATAGTGGTAGGCGCAGTAGCTGGTGGCCAAATATTGGAAAAGAGCTTTGTTGAGATTTATTCGCTGCTGAACAAGCTTTCCAAAAGCAAACCAGATTGGCAAGGGGAAGCAGTTAGACACACAACCGTTACAGCTGTCGGGGTACTTAAATTAGATGTTGTATCAACACTATCTGCACCGGTAGCATCTTTAGCAAATCAAATTAGAAAGATGAATGTGGCTCGGAACCAACAACAGTTCCAACCAATGCAACAGGTTCAACCAGTTCAACAAGTACATGTGTTATGTGAAGTCTACGGCAAGGGCAATACCAGTGATACATGTCCAGTGAATCTAGAGTCAGTTTACTTTGTGGGGATTGCTAATAGAGGCCAAGCTAATCAGAATCAGTATGATAATAATTATATCCAAATTAGAGGAGACACCCAAACTTCTCTTAGGTGGAAACCAAGGTGCTCAATATTAGTACATGCCCAAAGCTCCTCAACAACAATAGAATTAGTATAGACCACCACAGGTTGAGCAACCTTCCAACTCGACGATTCACATCGAAGAGATGCTGAAAAAATTGGTGATTGACCATGAGTCCCAAGTAGAAGCCCACTCAGAAGCTATTCAAAATTTGGAGCAACAAATTGGGCAACTTTCGAGTTCCCAAAATACTCGATTAGCTGGAGCATTACCTAGCGACACTGAGGCTAATCCTAAGGCCCATATTAATGTTCTGTCCCTGAGGAATAGGAGAGAGTTAGTAGAAGTCCCATCAAAGAAGAGAAAGCAAGTGACATTTATTAAAAATCAGGCCACCACAGAAACCGAATCAGAAACTGCAACGATGTCGGAGAAGCCAATCAAAGAGGCTAAGGCAAAGAATCCACAACCAATAGTTGCGAAGCAACCACCTCCATTCCCTCAGACATTGCAGAAAGTGAATGATAATACAACATACAAGAAATTCCTTGATATTTTGAAATAGCGGCAGATTAACATCCCATTGGTGGACATTTTGCAAGAAGTGCCAAAGTATGCAATGTACATCAAGGAAATTATGGAAAACAAGCGCAAGCTGACTAAGTTTGAAACTGTAGCACCCACTAAAGAGTGTAGTTCCAGAATTCAGAATAAGTTGCCGCCTAATTTGAAAGACACATGAAGCTTCACAATTTAAATTTCTTTTAGTAAACTTGTAGTTAGGAGAGCATTGTATGATCCTAGGGCAAGAATAAACTTGCTGTCGTTGTTTGTGTTTTGACAGCTAGGGTTAGGAGATCCTCGACCAACTACGGTGGTATTACGATTGTCAAATAGATCCTTAGCTAACTCTGAGGGAATCATTGAATATTTGTTGGTCCAAGTGGTCACATGCATATTCCCAGCTGATTTAGTCATCCTGGATTATGAGTCTGATCAGGAAGTCCCATTTATTTTAGGACGGCCATTTCTAGCAACGAGCCATGAAATTATTGATGTGTGTGAAGGACAAATGACCATGAGACTGGGTGACAAGGTAGAGGTCTTCAATGTATACCGAGTACTTAAATTGCCAACAGACAATGAACATTTTGGCCATGATCACAGTTTTGGATGATGAATTGGCAGGAACAACACCATACTTGGTGTCTCAAGATCCTCAGGGAAAAGCTTTAATGACGAAAAAGAAGAGGAGGATGAGATGGTGGAGGAAATTGAACAAGTTTTGAACATGACATGCCAGTATGTCAACGGGTTGAAATGATTTGAGGAAATCGACAAGACATTGACATTGACACCACCTAAGCCATCTATTGAAGAGGCTCCATAATTGGAGCTCAAGCCTTCACCTTCTCATATGCGATATGCTTGCTTAGGTGTTTCGGAATCCTTACATGTGATCATCTCATCTTCATTATCACATGTGCAAGAGGACAAGTTAATGCAGGTTCTGAGGGAACACAAAGGGGCCATTGGTTTGACTATTACCGATATCAAGGGAATTAGTCCATCATTTTGCAGGCATAAAACATTCCTGGAGGATGGACACAAACCTAGTGTGGAGCAGTAGAGACGATTAAATCCTATTATAAAGGAGGTAGTAAAAAATAAGATTATCAAGTGGCTGGTGCTTGGATCATAATTCGTATTTCTAACAACAATTAAGTGAGTTATGTGCAGTGCATGCCAAAAAAGGGAGGCACGACAGTTTTGGCAAACGAGCAAAATGAGTTGAAACCTACTAGAACGATGACAGACTAGAGGGTACGCATTTATTACAGGAAACTCAACAAAAGTTATGCACAAGGACCACTTCCCTCTCCCTTTCATTGATCAGATGTTGGATAGGCTAGCCGAGCGTGAATGTTATTGCTTTCTTGATGGTTACTCCGGTTACTACAAGATAGTGATAACACTATAGGATCAGGAAAATACTATATTTACTTGTCGCTATAACACCTTCGCCTTTAATAGGATGTCCTTCGGGTTATGCACTGCACATACGACTTTTAATAGGTGTAGGATGGCCATCTTCACTGACGTGGTGGTGAAATTTGTGGAGGTGTTCATGGTTGATTTTCAGTATTCGGGTCATCCTATGATAATTATTGTAAGAAAATGGAGTTGTGCTTGCACGCTGTGAGGAAACTACCCTGGTGCATAATTGGGAGAAGTGTCATTTTATGGTTCAAGAGGGTATTGTATTGGGACATCGAGAGTCCAAGCAAGGAATTGAAGTCGACAAGGCTAAGGTGGAGGCAGTTGAAAAACTACCACCACCCATCTCTGTTAAGGGCATCAGCAGCATCTTGGGACATATAGGTCTTAATAGATGTTTCATTAAAGATTTTTCAAAAGTTTCTAATCCCTTATGCATGTTGCTAGAAAAGGATGCCACATTAAAGTTTGATGATCCTTGTCTGAAGGCATTCAAGGAGCTGAAATTGAAGTTAGTGTCTGCGCCAATCATTGCCGCACCTGAGTGGAGTCAGCCAATTGAGTTGATGTGCGATGCGAGTGAAGTAGCAATTGGGGTTGTGCTTGGACAGAGGAAGAACAAAGCATTTCACTCAATCTATTACGCTAGCAAGACCCTAACTGATGCACAACTCAACTACACCATGATAGAGAAAGAATTGTTGGCAGTTGTATATGCATTTGACAAGTTTCTTTCCTACTTAGTAGGAGCGTATGTGATCGTATACACAAATAATGCGGCAATTGGGTATTTAATCTCAAAAAGTGATGCTAAGTCGAGACTAATTAGATGGGTACAGAGAATAAGGTGGCTTACCACTTGTGAAGGCTAGAAAATCATGAGCATGTGGAGCAATGGGGGTGATTAAGGAGACTTTCCTATATGAGAAACTCTTTGCAATCACACATGATCTGCCACCATGATATTGGGATTATGTAAATTTCATAGTGAGTGTAGTACTTCCTCCAGAAATGCCAATTGAAGGGAGGAAACGATTTCTGCATGACGTAAATAATTATTTCTAGGATGAGTCATTCTTGTATCGGCAATGTGCCGACCACCTGATGAGAATATATATTCCAGAGAAGGAGGTGGTGCAGATTTTGTATTGTTGTCACTCCTCACGTTATTGGGGACATCATGGTGGTGATAGAACGACCGCAAAAGTTCTGCAGTTATGGTTCTATCGGCCGAATCTGTTGCACATTCGTTTGTGAGGAAGTGTGATCGATGTAAGAGAACTAGAACAATCACTAGAAAAAATGAGATGCCACTTACGAACATTCTTGAGGTGGAGATTTTTTATTTTTGGGGGATCGATTTTATGGGACCATTTCCAATGTTTATAGGTAACAAATACATCTTGTTAGTAGTGGACTACATGTATTAAGTGGGTGGTGTGATGACCCAATAGGTCATCACTTGTTTTTGAAATAAACTCCGTGTTCCGAGGCCTTAAAACCTCCTTTTTTGTCTCACCTCGATTTGCGTGCACAGTCCGGATGTGTATCGGAAAAGCCATTATGTAAAAATCCATGAAAAATGATGAATTTTGCTTTTAAAATGAATTTAGGTTGACTTCGGTCAACATTTTGGGTAAACAGACCCGAACACGGGATTTGACGGTCCAGGAGGGTCGTAGGAAAAAATGCGACTTGGGCGTATGCCCGGATCGAATTCCGAGGTCCCAAGCCCGAGAAATGAATTTTTGAAGAAAATTGTTTAACTGAAATTTCTAGAGTTTTTGGAAATCTGAATGTAATTGAATGTGATGGTATCGGGCTCGAATTTTGGTTCCGGAGCCCGGTACAGGTCTTATATGTCATTTAAGTTGAGCCTGTAAAATTTTGTAAGAAACGGACTTGGAAAACGTGAATCGGACCTTCGTTTGTAAAAAGTTGAACTTAAGAGTTCATGAGATTTTTCTTTGATTTTGATGCTAAACTCATAGTTATTGATGTTATTTTGTTGATTTGATCGCACAAGAAAGTCCGTATGATGTTTTTGGACCTGCATGCATGTTTGGTTTAGAGCCCCGAGGGCTCGGGTGAGTTTTAGATGGGTCAAAGAGTGAAATTTGGAATTAGGAATTTGCTGGTATGTTGCAGGTCTGTAGGCTTGCTCGCAAATGCGAGCTCACAAATGCGAAATAGTATCGCAAATACGAAAGTCGACATGGGCTGCCTTGGTCGCAAATGCAACGTATATATCGCAAATGCGAAGGTGACCGGAATTGAACATGGTCGCAAATGCGACAACATCTTCGCATTTGCGAAGTGAACAGATTCTGAGGGGTTCACAATTGCGACATCAGAGACCAGTTAATTGAAACTTAGACGCATTTTCAGCCATTTTTACAACCTTTTAAAAACCTAAACACCTTTGTGCGATTTTTCAAAGACAACTACTCTTCCAAATCAATTTTAAGTCCTTTCTATCTCATTTCTTTCAATCTATCCATCTTTTTACGTGATTTTAACTCAAAATCAAGGGGTTTAATTGGGGAAATTGGGTGTTTTGGGTAGAACTTAGGATTTTCGAATTTTGGGGATTTGGAGCTCGATTTGAGGTCCGATTTCAAAACAAATTATATCTTTGAGTTCATGGCTGAATGGGTAATCAGGTTTTGGTTCGAACCTCGGGTTTTAACCATGTGGGTGTACGGCCTCGGAAAAATTTGCTAAGTAACCTAGGATCTCGTGGTGCCACGTAGGTTTATTATAATATTTTTATGTGCTATTAACATGGTTTACATCAATTGGATTTGGTGAATATGTGTATAAGTCTATGTTAAGTAATTTGGGGTCCAAGGAAAGGCCTAAGTCTAAGAAAAATTGGAAAAAAAGTTCACAATAGGCTAAAATTCCAAATGAGCTTGCACTAGCCCATACTTTGAACGAGCATATCTAAATATGTATAAGGTTTTATGTGATGAACAACCTATCAACTGAAAGGTCTTCGAGTCTAGTTTCAAACGCTTCAAACCGTTCGTCATTTGGACATTCCTATACTAAATCTAGAGAGGGGTGAGAGGATTTTAGAGAGAGAAAGAGGAACCTAGCCTCCTAATCATCAATCTTGCACAAACCCTCAAAAATCAAGCATGCTAATCTCTAGCTCAATATCTTTCGGGTATGTCCTACTTCTAATATTTCATATATGAGATTATGAGATCAAAAAAATATATCGCGGGGATAGAAATAGGCCATGCATGTGACACTAAGCTATAGTAGGTGGGATTAATGAAATATTTTGGGTAGTTCTTGATGAAATTGGATAAAGGAAGAAGGAATTTCCATTGTAGAACCTTGTAGTCTACTTCACTTGTTAGGTGTTTGATGAAATTCCTAAGAGGGTTACACCATCAGTAATCTTTCTAATTATTAATCGATTTCCGCTATTTCCTTATAGATTGTTATTGCTAGAGGTGTTGGTGTATTCTAAAAATTTGAGGGAAAGCTCTTTGAGGTATGTATGGCTAACGTTGACCTTTGTAAAATCACCTTGTTTGGTGTACGAATATTTGGTATGTGATATCTACGTGGATTATGTGTGAAATTCTGTGATTGGTATGATTAAAGTGTTCGTGGTTATGTCTCCCGATATAATAGTGTAAGTAATTGGCAATAAACCAAATGTGTGATTGTGAAAGTGTTATGTGGTAAGAGCTGAGCAACAAATGATGGAAGGAAATCATAAACGATACAATTGGAACAACTGTGGTAATAACATATATGGCTTGTCGTGGGCAATTATCGTTGTGACATAAAATGCATATGAGTTATTGAATATGATGGAAATGGTATTGATGGTTATGGAAATTCTTTGTGAATTGTTGTTGTTATTCCTTGAGAATTGTTGTTGTAGTTCTTGAGAATTGTTGTTGTTGTTCTTTGTGAATTGTTGTTGTTATTCCTTGAGAATTGTTGTTGTAGTTCTTGAGAATTGTTGTTGTTGTTCTTTGTGAATTGTTGTTGTTGTTGTGTTGTTTGTGAATTGCGATTGTTCGGTGGGATCGGGTTGCGCGCCGCAATAAGAAGTAATAAGGTGTGGGTTGTGGTGATAAGGGTGGCCGAGGTAACAAGGGTAGAAAGTGATCGAAATCACTATTGAAATGAAAATATGAGAAAGTTGTGAAATCATTGATGTGAAAATGTTGAAGGGGAAATGGAGAGATTGTAAACTTGCTTGGCTTGGTTGTTTCCTTTCATGTGTATTTGATTGTGGATTCCATTACTACTTGTTGCTTGT